GAGTAAAACCTAAACATACATTCATATTTATAAAATGGCACATTCTACCCTCTGAACGAAGCTACAGAAAATTAAGGGCCGAAGGCCTGGTGCAAATGAAATGATTTTGCCTGGTACCTAAACATAAGTAGTGATGGTGCCAGGGTAGAAGATGATGATGATGGGGAAACCTGCCAAATAGAGCCTAACCTGATTATTATAGCATCTGGGAAGTGGGGCAGAGGAGTAGGTGCATTGGACTCTAACTTCTCCCATCCACAGTCAGAATGCTATCTATTTTTAGGAGACCCAACCCGTTTACTGTTGAAAGAGCCCTAGGAGTGATTTACAAAGGTTGGAAGAAAAACATTTCCTCCAGTCCTGATCACACACACACAACTCTTTCCTCTAAGGCAAACGTGGGAAGTTTGTGGCCCTCCAAACACTGTTGAACTCCACCATCCCCAACCACTGACCATATTTGCTGTGATTAATGGAAGGTGGAGTTCAACATCTGGAGAGGTCCCCTCTCCACGTCCCCTACCCTTGTTTTAATAAGAGGTCAGAGCATCCAACAGCTTAACAAATATTGGAATTCAGAGCTAACACAAAACCCATCTCCAGTTCTTCCCAGAATATTGTTGTGTGTGTGTGTGTGTGTGTGTGTGTGTGTGTGAGAGAGAGAGAGAGAGAGAGAGAGAGAGAGAGAGAGAGAGAGAGACTGTCTCCAGACTGAGCTACACAGATTTTGGGAACACTGAGTAGATTTCTGTTCATCTAGCCCTAAACCACAGAACTAGAGCTATAAGGCAATAGTGCTAGGCTGCTGGGATTCAGAGCTAGGGCCCTGAGTCACTAACCTACCCTATACTTAGAAGCATAGAAATAGAAGGACCCAGGGAAACATCTACTCCAACCCCCTAGAATGCAGGAATATGCAGCTGCCCATACAAGGATCGAACCTGCAACCTTGGCGTTATCGGCACCACACTCTAACCAACTGAACTAAATTGTGCTAATGCTACTGGGGAGGGAAAGCGATTTCAATTATTTATCTCCCTTCCCTGCAATTCCTCACTTGCCCCCCCCCCAACTTCTTTTCTCGAACACTCCATTTTTGAATATACTATTCCAAGCAATGTGCAATGTGTGAGCAGCAACTTGCAGACGCACACACAAGGCTAAACCAGGAACAGGTGCCATGTTGAAAAAGGACTCAAGAGGTTTAATAAAATAAAATAAAAATTCACATGGAATGCGAAAGAGTGCACAGCCTATTTTTACAGTGTGCAGTAGGAGGCTAAAAGGGATTTGCAGGTGTTAAGGTAATTGTAGGTATTATGCTAACTGGACGGCAGAATAGGTTAAAAAGGTGAGCAGAGGACAAGGAGGCACGAAATTCATTTCCTTAACTCCAGCCATACACAATTCATGGAGACCAAACTAATTTAAATGCAAATCTCTGAGAAAACTACAATTAATAACAGAAGTTTAATTCAGTTTTTGGCAGCGGTTTTTGAGATTTCTGCAGCACTGAGTTTTACCTGCTTATTCAGTCTTTTTAAAAACAACAACACCAATAACAACAACAACACAATATTAAAAACTGAAATTTTAAAAGGAGTTATATCAAATGTGATTCGCCTTCAGAACTATATCTCACAGTTTATTGCTCAGAAATAGGCCTTAAAATTATGACACATGCAGTATTAATTTTTACCTACTTTATTTAACCAGCATGAAAGTTTCAGAAGTGTAACCCCATAAGAATATAGTAAGTGGGGTGGGGTGTTGAACCATTCACAGGATTTGTTGACACCTTTTACAATTGGAGTCAGAATGCTGAAAATATTGATCAAAACCAGCGTTTAAAATGCAACATCAGCTAAATTGCCATCCTCTGCCTGGCAAATCTATTTAATGATCAAGTTCAATGGGACTTACTCTGTTGTGCATATAGAACGACAGCCCTCATATCGTTGTGCCATCTTTCTAATATATCCCATTTTTAAAGCCTGCTTAGTTCAATACTTTTGGCACTCCTGTTAATACTAACAAAATTCAAAATTCTTATTGCTGGTTATAGGATAATCGTCTCCAGATCACTTTACTCTAACCCTAAATGTTCCTGACTAGCAACAGAGTGCCAACATGTAAATGCTACTCTCCCAAACAGATTCAACCGCATTCTCGATGCGACCGAAGACTGACAGAAAGGAACTAAAATCTTAAGGCGATGAAGGCAACATCTGAAGCCCACTGATCCCATAACATGGTGATAATTAGCCATGTCATGTTCATATCAATGCTACTCAGTCCAGTATATCTGAAGAAGTGTCTCCACCCCCATCATTCTGCCCGGACACTGAGGTCAAGCTCCAAGACCTTTCTGGTGGTTCCCTCACTTGCGAGAAGTGAGGTGACAGGGAACCAGGCAGAGGGCCTTCTCAGTGGTGGCACCTGCCCTGTGGAACGCCCTCCCATCAGATGTCAAGGAAATAAACAACTATCTGGCTCTTAGAAGACATCTGAAGACAGCCCTACTTAGAGAAGTTTTTAATTACTGGTGTTTTAATGTGTTTTTAATCTTATGTTAGAATGTTTGATCGTGTTTTTAATATTCTGTTGGAGGCCACCCAGAGTGGCTGGGGAAACCCAGACAATTGGGTGGGGTATAAATAATAATAATGATAATAATAATAATAATAATAATTTAGTATTTATACCCCGCCCATCTGGCTGGGCTTCCCCAGCCACTCTGGGTGGCTTTCAAAAAAAATAAATTAAAATACTGTAATACATAAAACATCAAAAGCTTCCTTAAACAGGGCTGCCTTCAGATGTCTTCTAAAAATCTGGTAGTTGTTGTTCTCTTTGACATCTGGTGGGAGGGCGTTCCACAGGGCGGGTGCCACTACCGAGAAGGCCCTCTGCCTGGTTCCCTGTAGCTTTGCTTCTCGCATTATTATTATTATTATTATTATTATTATTATTATTACTGAAGAACGGTTGCAACACAGTGTTGCATCCCTCTAATAAAGTATTTGCATTGCTCACTTTGGCCATGAAAGAAATTTAAAGTAAATGATGACGGAAGAATCAGAATGAAGGCATGTGCCAGCAGAACTGCTCCATCGTGAATTCCTAATTCTGGAAGGTCTGCATTTCCTAGAGCATAAGACAATGTGCTAGAGCCGGATCCCAAAAGGTCTGCTGCTGCACTGCATCCTGCAGAGGAGATTCACTAGGGTGATATTTTTAAACAGCTTGACGTTATCTTGAAGATACTTCATAGGCGGCATTATATAACACGTGGCCTTCAAAAAAGGAAGACAGAAGGTTTTCTGTGACCCGACAGATATTGGGGTGGGGATTCGATTCCCCTTCCTGTCCCAGGTTTGCACCAGCGTGAATTGAACCAAATCAGAATCTAATCCTTGGTTACAGAAATACAGGCCATTAAACCATCAGACTTCACTCTCCAAATCAGTTACTCACACAAGCGCATTGCCACTGGGCACAACACAAGATTAAACCGAAATAACACTGCAGCTTGACGGACACACACACTGGATTATATTTTTAAGGAACTTCCCCTCCTATAATGAAGGGGTGGCCGAGGCGGCAGGGCTCTTTGCCACCAAACAGATTTAATCTTTGCCCTGTACAAAAAAACAAAACAAAAAAACAAACCCAACAAAATACCAAAACAAACCAGTTTGGCAATATCCAACTCGAGCTTCAAAATACCCCCCACAGAAAAACCCCCAAACACCTCATTCATTGGGATTTTAAAGACTAAAGTTTGATATAGATCTACTTCCATTCATGATGTCGAAAACCTGATGGAAGGAAAGGATGGTTTTCCGTTGATGAGACGGGGAAAGGCGCGGAGGGAGCGGAGGGGACGCGCGCACGGTTAGGGACACCGTGTGATGTAGCAGCGGGGGGGGGGAATCAAAGCTCAGTAACTACATCACTGCAAGGTCACTGGAGGAGGATTTTTACATAATCTGAGTCCCTGGCCGGATAGTCCACTGGAAGGGTATGGAAATAGTACAACTGGCCAGCCCTCCTCCTCCTCCACCAGCGGCCGCTTGCACGTTGCAAGCTCCGCCAGCCTCCGGTGCCCCCTCCTTCCCCCACCCCCAGCCACGTCCCAGAAAGGCTGCAGGAGCAGCAGCAGCGCGGCGGATAAAAGCAGCCACAAATCCTCGCCGGGCTCTGCAGCGGCTGAGCTGCTCCAATGCGGGGGAAGCGCGGAGATGGAGGGCGGGAGGAGAGAGAAGCGCAAGATCCCGCGTCTGCGGCGAGCCAGTTGTGGGCGCCCAGCACGGAACGAGGCCGGGCAGACAAATAAAGCGGGGGGGGGGAGCGGGGGGAAACCGGGTGTCTGATCCCCCGTCTCCCTGGAAAGCACAATGCGGTACCCATCGCGCCCCCTGCATTGGCCAGACCTGGTCCGGCCAAGCGCCCCTCCGCCGGGACCCTTTCCAGCTTCTGCTGCAGTCACACAGAGCAGGTGCGCTATTTAGTGCAAAAACACCACTTAATTGGGAAGACCTGGCAATGGCACAGGGCCAAGCTGGGAGCCTCGTCGATCTCGGATGTGTTCCCCCACCCCACCCTCTCCCCTCCTCGCTTTTTTTGCTCCGGGTTAAGCCTCCAGAGGAGCGCCAGAGAGGTTTCCAGTCCATATGTGTGTGTATGCGCGCGCAAATGCGCTTTGGGAAGGGTGCCAAACTGGGTCTTTAACCTGGGTGGAATAAAGCCTAGTTTCGCCCCCTGCCCCCACCCTCTCCGGCTGTCTTCCCAGCTGCCCCCGGTCCTCCCGATTGCCCAGCGCCCCCTCCCCAACGCAGCGCCCCCTGGAGGCCTCGGCCGGCGCCTCGCTCCCTCCCGCGCGCGCCCGGAGGTTCCTAACTCGGAGGGTTAGACCCGCGCTTTCCGCCGCCCCCGCGCGCCTCCCTCCTTACCCGGGGCTCCTCGGCCTCCTCCGCGCGCCCCCCCGGCCCCCTCACCTGAGTGGCTTTGTGGAACTGCTTCTTCAAGCCGGCCACAGACATGGCTGCAGGAGACGCGCTTTCCGCGGGAGGATGCTGAGGACGAGCCGGAGGGGCTGCGGGACGCTTCCCGGGGGAGCTGGGCTTCGCTTCCTTCTCCCTCCCTGGCCGGCCGCGCTCGCTGCCTCTCTCGCCCCTCCTGCCCGAATGGGGGCTCGCGGATGCCGGCGATGGTGCAGAAACAGCCTGACGTCAAATGGAGGCAAGCCGGCCTCTTAAAGGGAAAGCTCTGCGCTTCCCTCTTTGCGCTCTCTCGAGAAGGGAGCGGCGCGCTCCGGTTCTCTCCAGCGTGTGGACGCTCCTGGCCTGCGCCCGCTTGCTCCGAATTAAGCGCCGGTCACCGGTGCCAGCGAGCCTCGTAGCCCCACGCTGTATACCATTTCGCCAGTGAAAATAGGGATGTCCAATTCCATAACAATAGCAACAACAAAACAACAACAACAACAATTTTATTATTTATACCCCACCCATCTAACTGGATTGGCCCAGCCACTCTTGCGGGTTCCAACATATACAGAGACATAATAAAACATGTCAGCTTCTTCATGAATGGCTCCACATAATATGAGACACCTCCAGTCCTCCTCCCCCTTGCTTGTTGCATGTGTGACAGCATACCCTCCAACATTTCTCCCATGAAAATAGGGATGTCCTATTCCATAATAAGGTTTTCCCAGTAGTGATGTATGGAAGTGAGAGCTGGACCATAAAGAAGGCTGATCGGCGAAGAATTGATGCTTTTGAATTATGGTGCTGGAGGAGACTCTTGAGAGTCCCATGGACTGAAAGAAGATCAAACCTCTCCATTCTGAAGGAAATCAACCCTGAGTGCTCACTGGAAGGACAGATCCTGAAGCTGAGGCTCCAATACTTTGGCCACCTCATGAGAAGAGAAGACTCCCTGGAAAAGACCCTGATGTTGGGAAAGATGGAGGGCACAAGGAGAAGGGGACGACAGAGGACGAGATGTTTGGACAGTGTTCTTGAAGCTACCAGCATGAGTTTGACCAAACTGCGGGAGGCAGTGGAAGACAGGAGTGCCTGGCGTGCTCTGGTCCATGGGGTCACGGAGAGTCAGGCATGACTAAACGACTAAACAACAACAATATTCCATAATAATACTAATGATAATAACAATAATTTTATTATTTATACCCTGCCCATCTGACTGTGTTGCCTCAGCCACTCTGGGCAGCTTTCAACATATATAACAACATAACAAACCCTTTAACAACTTCCTTATACATTCCCTTCAGATGTCTTGACCTAAAGGTTGTATAGTTACTTGTCTCCTTATCTCGGAGGTTAAATAACTGCATACCCTCCAACATTTCTCCAGTGAAAATTGGGACGTCCTAAGGAAGAGCAGGGCATTCTGGAATCAAATTAGAAACTGGGATGGCATCTGCAAATCTGGGAATGTACCTGGAAAATAGGGATGTTTGGAGGGTCTGACCATGTGTGTTTTCGCTTGGATATACTGCATCCAACTTACCTGCTAACATTGAGGTGCATAAGACACAGGTTCACCTCAGCTCAGGAGAAACCCACCTGGGGATGCAATGACTGCAGATATTAATATTGTGCAGTTTGAAGTGACTGAAGCATAAGAACTGACTCCTTTTGGAAGAAATCATTGTCCAGGCCCATAAAAATATTATTCAAACTTTTACTGGCAGGATTCTTTACAAACAAAACATAAGCATCAAAAATACATCCAAAATATCCATATAATGTTGTGTGCTGTCCAGCACAGGTTCAGAATCTTAGAAATAAAAGATAACTCTCTCTCCCACATTCCAGCTTGCCTAAGCCTACCCTACCTAAGGCTATGCAACTCTCTTTGGAGAGCCTTTATCACATCCTTTGTTGTATTAGCCACTACCCTTCCAAGATGGCGAATTTGCAACTCAGTACCTCAGATATGCAGATGACACAACCTTGATGGCAGAAAGTGAGGAGGAATTAAAGAACCTTTTAGTGAGGGTGAAAGAGGAGAGCGCAAAATATGGTCTGAAGCTCAACATCAAAAAAAAACGAAGATCATGGCCACTGGTCCCATCACCTCCTGGCAAATAGAAGGGGAAGAAATGGAGGCAGTGAGAGATTTTACTTTCTTGGGCTCCATGATCACTGCAGATGGTGACAGCTGTCACAAAATTAAAAGACGCCTGCTTCTTGGGAGAAAGGCGATGACAATCCTAGACAGCATCTTAAAAAGCAGATACATCACCTTGCCGACAAAGGTCTTTATAGTTAAAGCTATGGTTTTCCCAGTAGTAATGTATGGAAGTGAGAGCTGGACCATAAAGAAGGCTGATCGCCGAAGAATTGATGCTTTTGAATTATGGTGCTGGAGGAGACTCTGGAGAGTCCCATGGACTGCAAGAAGATCAAACCTATCCATTCTGAAGGAAATCAGCCCTGAGTGCTCACTGGAAGGACAGATCCTGAAGCTGAGGCTCCAAGACTTTGGCCACCTCATGAGAAGAGAAGACTCCCTGGAAAAGACCCTGATGTTGGGAAAGATGGAGGGCACAAGGAGAAGGGGACGACAGAGGACGAGATGGTTGGACAGTGTTCTCGAAGCTACCAGCATGAGTTTGACCTAACTGCGGGAGGCAGTGGAAGACAGGAGTGCCTGGCATGCTCTGGTCCATGGGGTCACAAAGAGTCAGACACGACTAAACAACAACAACCTTTGTCACCTGACCTAAAGTTACAACAGTTTAGAGTAACAGAATCAACGGGTAACCATTAACCCATTTAGGAGCTTAGAGCCCCTTAGAAAAACTACTATGGAAAAACCCCAATGTTACCAATACACATTTAACCATTTTCCATTTTAAACTTTCATTAATACACATACGCGGGTGGGACGCGGGTGGCGCTGTGGGTAAAAGCCTCAGCGCCTAGGGCTTGCCGATCGAAAGGTCGGCGGTTCGAATCCCCGCGGCGGGGTGCGCTCCCGTCGTTCGGTCCCAGCGCCTGCCAACCTAGCAGTTCGAAAGCACCCCCGGGTGCAAGTAGATAAATAGGGACCGCTTACAAGCGGGAAGGTAAACGACGTTTCCGTGTGCGGCTCTGGCTCGCCAGAGCAGCGATGTCACGCTGGCCACGTGACCCGGAAGTGTCTCCGGACAGCGCTGGCCCACGGCCTATAGAGTGAGATGGGCGCACAACCCTAGAGTCTGGCAAGACTAGCCCGTACGGGCAGGGGTACCTTTACCTTTACCTTAATACACATACATCTTCCATTTCTGTGTCAATTAAATCAATTATACTCTGTGCTTCCCCCCCCCAGTCAGAACTTGTTGGAACTCAGTTCTGACACCTCTTGGGTGGGCAGCATTGCCATTAAATGAGAACAAGAACTTTACAAAAGTTAAGCACCTTTTATCTTATCCTTGGAATCAATTATGAAATGACCGCAAACATAGAGAAGTCACGATCCTTTTCACATTTTGTATAATGCAAAATTTTACTATGAAGTAAGTCTTGCTGGGTTTTGTGGGTCTTAGGGGTAAGATATATTTTGGAGCTGTTGTGTGTGTTGAAGCCTTGTAGTAACATATTGAATTAACACAGGATCTGGGCACGCATACAGAGAGGACTGAATGTTTTTCTATGATGAGGACATTTATTAGTTATCTTCTTTCACAAAGGGGTTTCTTTCAGCTATAAAGAATAGTTGATATGCAACAAACAGGGAAGATTCATTTCAGAAATAAATATATATGGGTTTCTCTGGAGTTATTTTATTGAGTGCAGTAAAGTCACGTAAACTTTAACACTGAATTTTCATCCCCCCCCCACAAGATAATACTGCACAGAAATAAATAACAATGCTCTGAACATAGAGACACACAAAATCCATTTATACAAGCAAAGCCTCTGAAGGATTCACCTTCCAAAAAAACAAAGTAGTTCATGGTTCTGTATATATTTATAGCTTTAATCTTCAGTCATAGTGGGTTGCTGACAGTTGAACAGTCGAAATGGGCTCTCTTTGTGGAGGCTAATAAAAAATATAATTCGAAATGATAGGAGTGTGCTCTTGTTTCAGCCGATATATGTTGAACCACTTGCATCTGGTTTTGAGAGTAAACAGGAATCATCAATACTCCAGCAGCCTTGAAACAACACTTGCGCAAAGCTAGCAAATGACAGCAAAACCCGATAAATGTTTACTCATGAGTAACCCCCTCTGAGGTCAATCAGCTTTACTCAGGGGTGCCAACTTGGAGACCCGACTGTGGGTGCCCAGCATGCCACTCCACAACATCATCGTAGCTGAGGTGTGAATTCTATGATTATGATGAACGTCGAACACAAATGTCTAATATTTTGTAGCTCACACAGAAAGAGTTGTCTCCAGCCATGAACGATGCGACCTTCAAGCCACGGCAAGTGAAGGTCCCATAGCCAACACGTGAAGTCATTGCTCACCCAATAAATTACTCCCATGACAGTGGAAATCATTGTGTGGCCTGGATATAAGTTGAATGGTTACTTGCTTTGCTCAGTGCAATTTCTCTTGCGTTATCCTCCCATGCAACTGGCAGAGGACCGTTTTGTCTTCATTTGCATGTCTAGTAGCAACAGGTGCCAAGCCACTGGGATGAGCAGGTGTTAATGCTTTCAAGCCTTCGATTCCCAGGAGGCTGGGACACTGCAGAGGTAAGCAGAGTTTGTGCTTGACGAAATCTGTGCAGTTCTTCCTTGGCTTTTTGCACATTGTCCCTCCTCTCCAGTCTCGGAGCCTTCCAAGGCAGAGAAGGGCAACACAGCAGGGATGCATTTCTGACAGCCACCGTAGTTGCCTAAATCAGGGACAGGGTATCTCGCTCTGCTAATGCCCTCTACTGCCAACAAAGGTCCGTATAGTAAAAGCCATGGTTTTCCCAGTAGTGATGTATGGAAGTGAGAGCTGGACCATAAAGAAGGCTGATCGCCGAAGAATTGATGCTTTTGAATTATGGTGCTGGAGGAGACTCTTGAGAGTCCCATGGACTGCAAGAAGATGAAACCTATCCATTCTGAAGGAAATCAGCCCCGAGTGCTCACTGGAAGGACAGATCGTAAAGCTGAGGATCCAATATTTTGGCCACCTTATGAGAAGAGAAGACTCCCTGGAAAAGTCCATGATGTTGGGAAAGATGGAGGGCACAAGGAGAAGGGGATGACAGAGGACGAGATGGTTGGACAGTGTTCTCGAAGCTACCAGCATGAGTT